TGCATTTTGTTTTGTTTATCATTTATCATTTGATGGGCATCTGCGTTGCTTCCACCTTCTGACTATTGCAAATGGCGTTCTACGAACATTCACGTACAAGTTTTGATTTGAACACCTGTTTTCTATTCATTTAGTTATATACCTGAGAGCGGACTTGCTGGGTCATATGGTAATTCCATGTTTAACACTTTGAGGAGCGACCAAACTTTTTACTTTTTTAATTTGGCCTCTAGAAACCTTGCAATTACATAGGTGGCTTGCATTATATTTCTCTTGGAGAGCGCTGCTCTAGATGTTTCTTTCTGCCCAAGAATTCCACAGATGCTAACCTCTCATGTCTGTATACCGCCCTATCTGCCAAGCAGGATTGGAGGAATATAGTACTATAAATATAATACTATGACAGGAAACTGAAAATCATTATGCCAAGAGTAAAAGAGAGCCAAGAGAATAATAGAGAGGGTTATCACGAAGAGATTAAGTGCAATTCAGTAGGGATCTGGAGTATAGAGCCGGCTATGTAACTTTTTCTCAGAGTGCCTGGAAAAGGCTGGGAGGAACTCAGACAATACTGAACTTTTCCCTTAATTAGGCTTCCAAAAATATGGACCGGTTCATTTCTCTTGCCTGGAAGTGGCCTATGACTTAGACCTCTGCTGCCCTCTGGTGGCTCTGAGAATAAAGGCACCCCACCAAGAATTCTTTCCACTCAAAACTCCCCACCCATTGTTGTTCCCACTAGCGTCCCCAAAGCAGCTCAGCCCAGGATCTGAGGAGAGGAGCATCTGAACTCCCCGCCACTCTAAATAGGCCTTGAGCCCTCGCTGAATACCCGCACCCCATCTTCAGGGTCTGGGCTCTGCCCCCACCCGCACAAACTGCCTTTCATTTCCCTGCCCCGGTTGCAAGGGGAGGGGGGGGTTCCTGGTTCAGGCTGGAGCTGGGACCCAGGTCACTCCTGGAAGAAAGCAATTCAAGAGCTGCTATCTGATGTTCGGTATGTAAGACCAGGAGGGCAGAGTGACCAGAATATGAATGAGAAAGCATGAAAGAGAGAGTATGAATAGGTCACAGATATCCAGGGCCAAGATCCTACCAGACAGAGTCTCAGGGCTAGAAGGGACTGTAACTCTTGTGGAACTGATGTTTGTCTCTCTGTCCCCTTCTCTTTCTCTTTTTCTCCCTCCCTCCCTGTTCCTCTCCCTCCCTCCCTCTCTCTCTCTCCCCCTCTCTCTTTCTCTCTCTCCCTCCCTCCCTCTCTCTCTCTCCCCCTCTCTCTTTCTCTCTCTCCCTCCCTCCCTCTCTCTCCTCTCTCTCCCTCTCTCCCTCTCTCTCCCTACAGAGAGAGAAGCAGCCCACCCCAGCTCATGCAGCCAATCTGGACTGGAATCCAGAGTTTCCCTTGCCTGTCCCTTTTCCTTACTTCCAAAAATATCACAACTGATCCCAAACCACTTGCCTACCTCCATTTTATAGTGAGAGAAAGAAGAATACCAAAATTGTTGAAGCATACAGACCAAGGTTCAAACTAGCCCTGCAGCTCACTCTGAGACCCTGGGCGAGTTATTTAAACGTTCTGTTTCCTCATGTGAAAGACACAGGACTTCCCAGGGCCGCTGTGCATGTCAGGTTCTTAGCCCAGCACCTGGGACATCGTCAGTGCTCAGTGTTAGCTGTTAACTCTTTGGGGGGCTTCTTCATTCTTTTCCGGAGCTTGTGAATCTATAGGAAGCTAGCCTTCTAGGCACCAACCCCCCTGACAAGAGGACTTACCTTGGGTAGGAAAAGGAAAGTGGCCCTCAAGAGCACCCCCTTGCCAGGGGCACGGGTTGCGCCTCTAGCCCCTCTCACCCCACATATCCCACTTACCAATGACATTATGCCGCCCAGAGAGTAAGATCCAGAAGAGCAGCAGGGAGAGGATGCAGAGCCCATGATGTCACTGAGGCAGCACACGTGTGCAACCTGGGGTCTCCACCACTTGATGGTCAAGGAAAGGGATGGAGAAGTAGGGAGCTCAGAACCCACTGACTTTGGTCAAAGAACAGGTCTGAGATGACTCACACTTGAGGACTAGTAAGTATCAGAGCCCCAGAAATTCCTGCCCACTGTGCGGAAGTGTTGGAGGAGGTCATGGAGAGGACATGACTGCCAGTTGACGTGCAAGCTGGCCCTGGGCAATCGGGGGTTCCTCCCCCTGCCCTGTCCTTGGAATGTACCTCCGCCCACCTTTCCCACAGTGGGAGCCATTTTCAAGGATGTGGCCTTGAGGGAGCGAGGTGTTGTTGAGACCCTCTGGCCGGTGTGTGTGACTGAGCCCCATAAAGGCCTCTCTGTAAACTGTTAAGGTTCTGGTGGTCAAGTGCTGAGATCTGCTGGCTTCCAGAGCCCAAGACAAGCGTTGTGTGTAAGTTCCCTTGCTTATTACAGCTGTCACCTGCTGATCAGGAGTGACCTCTTTCCTTGTCTCAGCATGCCCTCTGCGTATGGGGAGCTGGTTTCGGATTTCACCCCCAAGCGAGCCACCAGGAAGCTGATGGGGAGGGGTGTGTGTGTGGTTTTTCAGTCTGGTCAGAGCTAATTTCAGGGTGTAAGGTTAGGGCATCCAGAGGAGCAGGGTCCACTGAGACCCGCTCCCCCAGGCCTGAGGCTGAAATGGCCTTAAAGTGAGGAAGGAAATGTTCTGATGGCTTCTTTGGTTTAGGGTACAACAATAGGAAAAGAGGCCTAGAAAGGCCCCAGGGGTGGGGGAGGGGGACATAGAATTTGGCCCCATCTCAACCTTTGACCTCCAACTCCAACACAATCCCAAGGTCAAATTCAGCCCTTTGGTTCATGCTTTTTCTCTCTCTCTCTCTTTCTCTCCCCTCCCCCCGCCCCATGTTGTTGCTCCCATGTGGACAGGGTGGGCTGCCCCAGATGAGGAAGAAAGATCTGGAAGGGACATCTCTCCTGATGCTCAGCCTGAGCTGCGCTGGGGCTCACACCTTCCTTTCCAGTCTCGTCCCCACCCCCAGCAGAAAATCACCCTTCAGTATTTTAAGATCCCAGGGCTGCTGTTTTCACTGAAGACTTCTCCATATTGATTTTTTAGGTGGCATCCACGTATTATCTTGATTTTTTTAATAAACAATAACACAATAAGCAAAACAATGGAAGAGGAACCTACCAAAATGTTCGGCAGCCTATTACACTGACACTGGGGGGTCCTCCTCGTTCCCTGCACTCTGAGCCTGGAGCCCTGAGTGTCCCTAGGATGGCCACTTCGAGGCTCATGCCAGCAACTCTTCTTCAGATCAAACACAGACATGTCTACTCAAAAAAATGAGTGTTCTGAACCCAGTAGAAACCAGAATTTCACAGGCCAGTGTGAAAACAGAGGGAAAGGGGGCAAAAAAGACAGCAGTGATGGAAATTATTTTTAATTTTAAAGATTTTTATTTATTTATTGAGGGAGGGGCAGAGGGAGAGAGAATCTTGAGCAGACTCAGAGCCCGACACAGGGCTCCATCTCACGACCTTGAGATCACGACCTGAGCCAAAATCAAGAGTCGGACACTTAACTGACTGCGCCAACCAGGCACCGTGGAAGTTTTTTTTTAAGCTGTAACTTGCCTTTTTCCATTAGAGTTGGGAATTACAAAAACATTTTTGCAATATTCAAGGTGAGTACTAATATTGTCTTTCTTGTTATAAAAGCCCTGCCTACTTAGCAATTTGTCCAAATTTTGAATGCATATGTCCTTTGACCCAGTACGACACATGTGGTTCATTACTTACCTCCCCCAAAATCATTCTCTCCTTCTTCCTTGCTAATAGAATCTCAATTTTTAAATCCAGGTGGGCCCCTCCCTCAGCCTCAAGGATGAAGCACGTTTAAGACTGTCACATTTTCCCTCTCCCATTTGCAGACATTTGCTTTTCCAGCCAATGAGAGGATGAGGGAAATGTGGGGAGGGGTCAGCTTCCGGGGAAGATGGTCTCTGAGATTAAAAGGAGAGCACCATTTGAGGTAAAGGTCTTTCCACCATTACCCTCGCCACAGACCTTCTTGCTGTGACGTCCAGAGCTGCAGCAACCATCCCACACAGTGAGGTGAGCATCACGAGGACAAAAGCCAGCACGCTGAGGTTTGTGGGGAAGGAAGGAAATGAGTCTGTTCATTAGTACTGTGGGTGAGCTGCTGAACCAGCCTCACTGCCTCTCTCCAGACTCCGATGTGAAAAAAATTAAATGTCTTTATTGGCTAAGCCACTGTTAGTTGGGTTTTCTACTACTACGAAGCTCAACAAATTCCTAATGGACAGACTTGCGAATTATATTCATTTTTTCATTCATTCAACAAATACTGATTGAGGGCCTTTTTTTGGGTCAGGCTCTATTGGAGAAACTAGAATTCTACTACAAAGAATTTCCCCAGATTTACCTGCAAAAGTGGGCCAACATTTATATGTACAAGGATTAATGTCCAACGAGAGATGACTAGTTAAAATTAGCTATTTTCATGGTGTCCCATTACAAGAATAATGTGATGACATAAATTTCTCCAGGATATAGAATGTGATCCATTTTGTATGCATTTTTAATTTTTTTTTTAATTTTTTATATTCTGAGAACCTAAAGACAACCCCTCCCTACAGCAAAGCTATCTGGAGGGGACAAACTGCCTGCCTTGGAGCCAAGGGCCAGCCCCCAAGGAAGGAGGTCCAAGGTGGGAACATCCAAGGGACTACAGTAAACTAGTTGCCTACCCCTGTTCCATCCCCAACTCACATTCTCTGATAAAAGAAAAGTCAGCTGGCCCAAGAAGAGGCCTGAGGGTCCCACCCCTGAGGCTTGAGAGAGACATCTGTGGCAAGTCAGCCTAGGCTGAGCTCCCACCCACCTCTGCCCTCGCCACCAGGGCAGCGCCCACGTTCAGTGTTCTCATTAAGTCCCGTAATCCTGCTGACATGCTCAGACCCCCTAGCTCTCTCATCCTGGCCCTCAAACAGCACAGACAAGAAGGTCAGCACAGTCTTTATTGGGGAAAAGCAGCGCCACACACCATTGCTCAAACCCACGACTGTTTCCAGTGCTCAGGGCAGCAGCAGGAACAGAAGCAGGGCAGAGAGGGCAACGAGAGCCCCCGGGAGGGTCACAGCCCCAGGACGTCACCCTCTCCTGGCAGCCAGGACAAGCCCCCTGTAGTCACCGAAGCAGCTCAGGACAAATCAGGACAGCTAAGGCACTGGGGTCTCTGCAAAAAGAAGCATCGGGTCACAGCTGTGCCCTCCTGGCTCCAGCTCCCCTCCATCCTAGAGAAGCTCAGCATGCACTGCTCCCCAAAGCCTTGGATGGCGCCCTGCTTCCCAGACACCCCAGTCCAAACTGGCAGTGAAGACCCTACTCACTCAGCTGTCAACCTTCTGTCTCCAAGCACCGAAACAGCCCACCCTCGCCCGAGCCCCACCCGGCTCCCCAAATGCATCACCCGCATTCCACCCTTTGTGCCTTTACTAACCACCAGACCCCCACCCCCACCCCTGTCCGGCATGTTCTCCGTGCTTTCCTCCCTTTGTCACATCCTGCCTAGCCTTCAGGGCCCAGATCTAATCCTACTTCGGGCAGAAAGATCTTCCCAAGGAGCCACGCCTACTCTGAGAGCCTAAAAGCCCATGCGGTCTACAAAAAAGGTTCTCATCTGGGGCATAGAATCTTTTTCTCCCACTCGACTCTCCAGGGCAAGAACTTTGTCTCAACCCTCTGAAGTCCCCTACCCAGCACCTAAGCCAGTGGTCTACACACAGCAGCTAAGTGCGCTCTTATCAGTGATGCTGGACCTGACTCACCTAAGGCAGAATCAGAGCGGAGGGTCCAGTTGGGGTTTGTGGCCAGTTCTGGTGGCTGAACGGGCGGGACACAGAAGCGGCCACAGCCTGACTTGCAGCACTTTTCCCCGGCCTGGCAGTTCTCATCCATCATGCAGTTGACAATGCACAGGCCCACCAAAATGTGTGGACAATCACCAGCCCGCCCTGCAGGATAAACAGGCACAGGTAAAGAGACTCAGAAGCTCCAGAGGAATCCATCCCTGACTGTAACTAGATCTTAACCAAAGATCTGCCTGGGAAATCTGGGAGCTAGAGCCTCTGAGAATTGGTGGGGCCCCAAGAGAGCATCGGGATCAACAGTTTTCAAATGGCATCCCACAGAGTTTCCTGGAGGTCCCTTGGTTTGATACTTCTGTCAGTGGGCCTGGGTGGAGTGCCAAGGAGCTCCCCACTGCCTCCCCCAAGGCTGGGCCTCCCAGTGTCCCTTCCTCAGGGAGGCCTCCTCTGCCACCCCAGACAAGGTTTGGCACCCTGCTTTGTGCTCCTCTCATCAGAATTCATTACAATTCCTGATCTGTCTACCTTCCCTGAGAAGCTAATAAGGACAAGAATCTGTCTTCAGAACCTTGAACACTGCCTGGGAATCTACATGTTGTCTAAAAACAACATCTGAGGGCGCCTGGGTGGCTCAGATGGTTAAGCGTCTGCCTTCGGCTCAGGTCATGATCTCAGGGTCCTGGGATCGAGTCCCGCATCAGGCTTCCTGCTCCTTGGGAGCCTGCTTCTCCCTCTGCCTCTCTCTCTCTCTCTGTCTCTCATGAATAAATAAATAAAATCTTTAAAAACAACATCTGAGCCAGTGATTCTGAAGTGGAGTTCCACAGTGCCTGGTACAAAAGGAGCATTCAAAAATAGGGATTTGTTTAGGGGCGCCTGGGTGGCTCAGTCATTGAGTGTCTGCCTTCAGCTCAGGTCATGATCCCAGACTCCTGGGATCGAGCCCTGCATCGGGCTCCCTGCTCCGCGGGGGACCTGTTTCTCCCTCTCCCACTCTCCCTGCTTGTGTTCCCTCTCTCACTGTGTCTCTCTCTGTCAAATAAATGAATAAAATCTTTAAAAAAAAAAAAAAGAAAGAAAGAAAAAGAAAGTCCTTAGTCTAGATACTATTAAAAAAAAAATAGGGGGGCGCCTGGGTGGCTCAGTCGTTAAGCGTCTGCCTTCGGCTCAAGTCATGATCCCAGGGTCCTGGGATCGAGTCCCACATCGGGCTCCCTGCTCTGCGGGAAGCCTGCTTCTCCCTCTCCCACTCCCCCTGCTTGTGTTCCTGCTCTCGCTATGTCTCTCTCTGTCAAAAAGATAAATAAAATCTTTAAAAAAAAAAATAGGGATTTGTTTAAAATATATATATTGAAACTAAAGAAATCAAATCAGGAATGCTTTTATCTGTTGTGGATATGTTGCTAAGAATCTGGTCAGAAAACCATGATCTTGGGCAATTCCCTCACTTTACAGATGAAGAAACTGGCTCAGGATGAGTCTGCTTCCCCGAGGTCACAGAGCCAGTCAGCAGCAGAACCAAGACCGCAAGCCAAGCTACCTGTCTTCCAGACTCGGGACTTTTCCTACTAACCCACACTGCCTTCCCCTAGCTCTTTCAACGCCAGCATGGGCCCCCTGGGGCCCCAGGAGGAGGGGTGGCTTTGGGTTGGGGGCTAGGCGGACAGGAGGGATGAGAACTCTGACTCCCCCCAGGAAGGGAAAGACAAGGAGGCCACAGATGGCTCCCTCCCCAACCGACCCTGGAACTCAAGGATTCCTTCCCCCAGGGGCCAACATACCTCCCTTGATGTCTCCACGGCAGGAGTGGCCACAGCCACTGCTGCAGCATTTATGCCCCTGGGGACAGGACTCGTCCCTGTCACACAGCTCCTCGCACGGAAGGGGGTCAGCAGGACATTCGCCGCCAGACTCTGCCATTGAATCAGAGCATGGGGCTCAGAGGTGTTCAGGCCCAGTGTTTCCAGTTATTTTCACTGTGACTCTTGAGTGCAAAATTTTATTTTTCATTGCGTATGTTAATCCATACGCATGCTTAAAATGTAGGTATTTCTGTGCATACATGTATATACTTTACAGTCTTTCTATTTCTTTTCTTTCTTTCTTTTTTTTTTTCTTTTTAAATGCTGCTCATCAACTACTAAACTGATCTCAAGACTCGTAGTCTGGAAAACACTGTTGAGGTCTAACCCACTGTGGCAAACAGACTTATTGCCAGCCCCATATTCACTCTCCCTCCCTCCTTCCTGTGGCAGACACCTATGGTCATGGCCCCCCGTGAACCACACCTCCCATATTGTCTCTGGGCTGGACTGTGTGATTTGCTTTGACCAACAGGACATCAGCAAGTGTGACGTGAGTAGAGGCTTGATAAGCACTTGCATATTGGGACTGGTCCTCTTAAAACACCCCCACCTTGGAAACCAGCCGCTACGCCGAGAAGCAGCCTGGGCTCAACTACAGGATGATGAGATGCCCCAAAGAGAGAGAAGCTGGATGAAGAGAGGCATCCTGTCTGGTCCAGCCACCGCTGAGCTCCCCGGTGAGCTCCCAGCTGCATGCAGCTGCGTGAGTGACCTAGCTTCGGCATATGTGGGCCTAAGAACTGCCCAGCTGAGCGCGGCCAACCCAAACAGCCGTGGGAAAGAGGCAACTGTTGTTATTTTGAGCCACTAAGTTTGGGAAGTATTTGTTATGCAGCCATGGATAACTGAAACACTTGCTAATAAAACCACAGGTGTGTTAGGAGAGGCAGTGAGCCCAGCCAGCTACAATGATTTGCTTCCCCAAATTACCCTGTAGCTCGGAGTGGGCCACAAGCTAAGACATCAGCTGGGAAAACTTTTGCATTCCTGATCCAGGTAATGCACCTTTCAGACTGCCCCCTGGCTTCTCTTTCTTCCAGTGCAAAGACAGACATAACACAGGGAGGTACAGCTGTCTTCTTTCAACCACAAGGCAACGAGTATGAGGACGAAGCCAAGGAATGTGAAGGAGAAGGAAAAAAAAAAATAACCTCATCCTTATTAGCATCGTGGAGCCACCACCCCAGCCCTGGTCCCTACTTCAGGACTTCTTGTTACGTGAGAAAAACAAACTTGTATTTGGTTAATTTTCTGTTGCATACAGCCAAGCACATCCACGACGTGCCCCTTCACCACCCCTCTGAAGATAACAACGCTCAGAGAAGAGAAGGGGTTTGCCCAGAACTACAGAGTGAGTCAGCGGCAAAGCAGGACAAAACTCAGCCTCTTGGTTTGGAAGCACTCCTTCCACTACGCCATCCGTAAAACACGCAGGCCCTGGGCCAGGTCCTCGGGGGCACGCACACCCCAAGAAGCCACATCCAAACCAAACCGACTCGCCATGACTAATTCATCTCAGTGTTTATTTCAGGTTCTTTAGGTGGAGAGAAGAAGTGACAGGCTATTAAAAGCATTGTAGAAAACTGAAGCAGGACTGGCCCAGTGCCACTGAGTTGGGACACGGAAGTAAAATTGCCTGTGGCTGGCTCGGGGAAGTCTGCCATGATGGAAAAAAGCAAGCATTGGCCTCCAAGGAGGCTGCAGCTGAACAAACAGGGTCTAATCACCTGGCATCACAGGGTTTTCCTCAACAGCCCCTATTTCAAAGATTCTCTGCCATTGTCAGATCACATCAAATCTGATTTTTTATCCAGGAAATATGGTCATGCTAACTGCCAGATGTAGCTTTCCACACCTCCCCACCTGCTTGACAAACACTAAAATCTGTTTAACAAAGAACAAAGCCTTTCATCCCACAGTTGAGAACGCTGGGCATAAAAACATCTCTCTGGTGGGAAAAACCTACCAATATAACTTCTCATGGGATTATAGGCAGAAGCACCCTTCCCAGATGTCACCATTTTGCTGAGCTTGGCCCTGAAGTGACCAATGCCAGGAGCACTCTGCTACTCTCTGCCCTCATCCCCAGGACTAGGCATAGAGACCAAACCTCTACTCTCTTCCAGGCCAGGCTTCCTTGAGGTCCCTGGGGTTTTGTCAAATAGTAGATGCAGTGAAGGGACTCTTGGGGAACAGGCTGAAGCCCTGGGGGTCAGAGCACATGCCCTTTGACCAGTGCCCACCATGGTCACCCACTGCATCCCCCATGTGTGATGCCTGAATCCCTGCCAAATAATTCCCTACTCTCCACTTGAACGCTGGACTTCATGACCTCCAAGCCAGACTATGACATCCTTACACTTTTTTCTAAGATCTGTTTATTTATTTATTTATTTATTTTAGAGAGAGAGAGAGCACAAGCCAGAGGGAGAGAGAGAATCTCAAGCAGACTCTGTGCTGAGTACAGAGCCTGATGCAGGGCTTGATCTCACAACCCTGAGACCACGACCTGAGCCGAAATCAAGAGTCAGACACTTGGGGCACCGGGGTGGCTCAGTCGTTAAGTGTCTGCCTTCAGCTCAGGTCATGATCCCAGGGTCCTGGGATCGAGCCCCGCATCGGGC